TTGTTACCTTCAGTGCAATAGAGAATTTAAATTCCTTTGGTGCTGGGCTGCTGTAGTCTTGTGCATAGGGTGGGAACTCAACTGCCAGAGAGTTTTTCTCAATATGCGTGTCAACCCTCAGCTTTCAGCCGACCCTGTATGATCATCCTTCAGGGTGTGTGTCTGTCTATGCTCTTGCTCCTCCCTCAGTGGTAGACTGTTGTTTATTGTTACTTGGTTGTAGGCTTATAGAGTTGGAGGGGAGTTCTCTATTGTCTTGCTGGAGTCTCCGCCTTAGATTGGTCATATGTGCCTCCGCATTGGGGGTGGAGCTTTTTTCAATGTTCCTGCCCCTCCTCCCTCTGCCATCCAAACTCTTTTGTATGTGTGGTTGTTCTTAGGCAATAGTTTCCTGTCCCTCTCCCAAGCTGTAATAGACCTCTGCTTGGTATTAGTATAGCAGTCAGAGCTCAAGATAGTTTTCTGTTCCTCCTCAGGGATTAGAGGGTTTTATTCTTCTCTCTTTCCCCAGCTACAATTGGCAATGATGCCTTGTCTCTGACCTAAGGCTGACAGGATTTACTGCTCTTCTCTCATTGGCTTAAGGCCTTTGCTTTGCATGAAAGAAGGGTCTGGGGAAGTAAGCAAGGCTTCATGCTTTTCCCCCAAGCACCTGCCAATCTCCTCCTACAGGACTGCCTCACCGAGGAGAGCCTCTCTGGTCTCCTTCCCTGTCCCTTATCTTTTCTCCTGAGTACCTATGCAGAAGCCCATGGAAAAGAGCTGGTGAATGAGTGCAAACTCTTATGTATGGAACCCTCAGCAATTCAAGACTCTTGTACTAGTGTACTCTTGGCCTTTAAAAATTCAGTAAACTTTTAGTTTGATGTCTTCTTACTTGCTGCTTCCTCCCATGCTCGGCCACAAGTATGTCAGTTTGTGTGTCCCATCTCTCCTTAAATGGACTTGTCCCACTTTTGAATCCAGGTTTCTTATTTGCCTTAAGACCTCAGCTCTCTGATCAGTTTAAGAAAATTTTACTGTATAGTTTTTCTAGATTTTTTCTCATTGTTTGGGTGGTTGAGACAATCTTTTATATTTCTACATACCAAACAGGAAAGGAAACACTCAGAAGGCTTTTGATTAAAAAAATTTTTTTTCAATTCATTATTCCCTTATGCTAAAGATCTCCAAAACAGCAGGCCTAGGGCATGGGTGGGGACCACAGGTAGAGAAGGGAGTAGCAGGTTATCTTGCTTTCCACAGGGAACTCTATCTCAGGCCTTCTCAAAGGAATGTCCAGAGTTTTTGAAAGACTATCCCAGAGTTTTCAGGGCTCAAGCTAAACCGCATTCATGCATGGGAAGGGCAAGATGGAGCCTGACTCTTTCTTCACTGCTGAGGCCAAAGGCCTGTTGCTGTTCTATGACATTGTTAAGAGTTTTTCATCGTCAGCCTGGATCCAGAAGACCCTGCATAGCATGGCTTATCTTTGTAATGTGCCTTTTTTCTCTTGTTGCTTTTAAGGTTTTTTTTAAATCACTGTTTTTCAGCCTTTGCATAGCTTTCTTTGTGTTTATTCTGCTTAGTATTGAGCTTCTTAGATCTGTGGGTGTATAGCTTTCATCATATTTGGACATTTTTTAGCAATTATTTCTTCAAATTTTTTTCTGTTCCTTCTCCCTTTCCCCTATCCTTCTGGATCAGGTGAGAACCACTTGATATTGTCCCACAGTTATTGAGGCTCTGCTTAGTTTCTTTTTTTGCAAGCTGTTTTCATTGTTATGTTTCCAAATTCACTAATTTTTTTCCTTTTGATGTCTTATCTACTTGCTGTGAGTCCAAGCAGTAATTTTCCATTTCAGATATTACATTTTTTGTCTGTAGAGATTCCATTTTATTTTTTAAAATATCTTCCTTTTTTCTTACTAAATTCATGTTTTTCTTTAGATCTTTGGTATAAAGAGCATAATATTGTTTTAAAGTCCTTGTCTGGTAATTTCCATCTTCTCTACATTTCCAGGTCTGTTCATATTGACTGATTTTTCTCCTGACTATGGGTCACGTTTTTTTGCCTCTTTGCATGTCTAGTGAATTTCATATTGTTGAGGTTTGGATTTTGTTGTCCTCCTTAAAGAGTGTTGGATTTTGCTCTCATGGGTAGTTAAATTACTTCCAGATCAGCTCAATTCTTTCAAGGTTTGGTTTACACTTTTTTAGGGAAGGTCTAGAATAGCCTTTACTTAAGGGATAACTGATTGCCACTAGTAAGGAGTTACTTTTATGGAGTCTATACTAGCTGATTGGTACTTGAAATTTTCTCTGCCCCACGTAAGCACTGGGAATTTTTAAGTTTAGAGTTCCATAGTCATTCTTTGCCAAACTTTATGGAGCTTCACCTTATACACGGGCAGCGGGGTATTCAGACGAGACTCAGGGGGATCCCCACGCAGACTATTGTAATTCTTTTCCTGCGTGGCTCCTTTTTCTCTGGAACTCTGCCCCCAAATTTACAGCTTCCTCAGGTTCTCTGAGCTACAATCTCTGTCTCCTCAAATCGGCAAGATGTACTGTGCTCTACTCTGGATCCTCCTTCTGGCAGCATCATCTAGGATGTGCCTCTAAGCTGAAAGATGGAATGATCAAAAGGTACATCTCATTTGTTTCCCTTCTCTCAGGGATCACACTCCTGTACTGCCTGATGTCTATTGTCTGAAAACAGCTATTTCATATATTTTGTCTGGTTTTCTAATTTTTTGCAGAGGGTAGGTAAGTTGTCCCTGTTTAATCTATCATGGCTGGAAGCAGAAATCCATGACTGTCTTTTTAATAGATGCATAACCTGCTACGAGTGGCTGTACTTTTACTCCTTTTAGTTATTCCCTTAGCGAAGACCATTTAGTTTGCTTTATTTCTTTTATTGTTTTATTCTCTAATAAACATGCAATGAACATCTTAATATCTATAGTTTTCCACTATTTAGATTAATTCCTTGGGAGTGATTCCCAGGAAGTAGAATCATTGAGTTGAAGATTATGTATGCTTTAATATAGTTTGAAATATACTGCCAAATAGCTTTCCAAGATTACAAATTTTTAATTCCATAGTTATATATGAGATATAAGTTTCATCAATATTTTGATAGCTATAATTTTTTAAAAAATCATTGCTCATTTTTAAATTTCTTTAAATTCTAGAGAAGTTGAATATTCTTTTATATGTATTATTATATTGTTTTTCTTTTTTGTCTATTTGTATCTTTTGCTTATATCTCTACAGGAGTGTTAGTATTTTTCTTAGAATAAAGATAAAATCTGTGGCAAATATTATTACAGTCTATTGTTTACCTTTTAAGTCTTTCTTAAAATGTAATTTCATCTGTCCATCTTTCGCGATTTCTTTTATAGCTTATAAATTTTGGAAGTCCGCTTCAGGTTTGCTAAATATTTACGTTTTCTTTTCATTTAAAAAAATCATATTAAATTCATTCATTCAACAAGTATTTCCCTAGCACCTACTCTAAGCTCATCAGTATACTAAGTGTTAGGGCGTGGTAGTGAATAAAATAGGAATGACCTCTGATCACAGGGGAATAGGAGAAGGTAGATATTTGCAAGGGCCAATAATCTATCTCAAGCCTCTTACATGACTGGTGAGAAGTCTATTAACACCCACTGCCACCCCCGCTCCCCCATTTCTATTCTGCTATCTTTTAGAATTTTTTTTTTGTAAAATAGTGTGAGATTGTGGTTTAAATTAATTTTTTCTAAACTGCCACCTGTTTATTACAGTACCGTTTATTGGATAGGTGTTTCCTGCCCACTGATTTATGCTATCTTCATAATGTAGGGTCTTATTTTTATAATAAGGAGGCATTATAATGTATGTGTTCTGGAGTCAGGCGGACCTGTGTTTAGATCTTGGCTCTCTACTTACTAGCTAAATGACTGGACATTAATTATCCTGTCTGTAAAGTAGGGGGATAATCTTGTCTATGATAGAATTATTGGACAATTCAATGTGAAAGGGTAAACACTTTCTAAAAAGGAACTGCATTATTGTTGTCAGGCGATCTTGATGAAAAATTGCTTTAGACTTGATAACGCGATATATTTTTTCATAAGTGAAAACAACAAAGCCAAAAAAGCAACATTTGCTATGGAAATGAGTTGTTTCAAGAAAAAGCTCAGAAAACTAGGTTATTTCTCCATAATTTTTTTTCTGAGCTCTTGCAAGCATAGCTATGTCATTGTTAGAGGGTGTGTGTTTTTCCATTAGCTCAGTGGAATTTAATTCCCAGCACATGGTGATGAGTGGAATGTTGTATGAGCCTGCACAATCTAAGACTGAAAAAAAAAAAAAATCACTGAGCTCCATTAGGATCTTAGACCCAGACTTCCCTGCCTCTTATCTGTCAGCTGCATTCCTGGTCTTAGGCCTTCTGATACTTTGATTTGTTCCTCCTGTCCTGACCTCAATGTCATACCTGTTTTCATTCTTGCTTCTGGTTGAAGTCATGGGTCTTCTTTGGCTTGTTCTGCTCCTGAAGATATTGGGCTCCTTTTGTGGACTTGTTGTCCTTTCGCACAAGTGCCGTTGCATAATTTCCAAATTCACAGGGGGCAGAAGTAGCAGCTGGCCACAGGAACGCTGGGAAAGTGGAATGGGAGGCAGAGGGGAGGCCCGACATCCAGTGCCCACTCACCTCTTGGTTCTCAGTTCTTCAGCGAAAGCTTTGGCAGAGTAGGGCAGACATGAACCGCCTGTAATCCTAAAATGAATGTGTCTTTTCCTTTTCAGTTTTAACTTAAACTAGATTGTTTTTCAACTTTGATCCATCCATTGGTTGGCATCTCTCACCTTCCAATTTCAATAAGAAAGAAACAATTTTGGGGCAAGATTTCCATCTGTTCATAGCAAACACAAATAGGAGGAAGATTTAGAAGCCATGGAGGACGGTGGCTGCACCAGGATGAAAATTGTTGTATTTTAAGTGTGGTGTCATCCCTGAGTGAGGAGAAATGAACCAGAAGACAAACAAGAATGTAGAAATGTATGCTCAATCCATTTTAAAGCCCCACAGACCCATTCAGCCTTACATCTGCTCAACTCTGAATGATTTTCAAGAAGACAGAGACTTTCTGGCAAACAACATCTTCCCCCAGCTTAATGAACTCTGCAATTCCCGGGGCACCTATTTCAAAGCTGTGGACCTGAGTTGATCAGCGTTGGGGGCCCCCAAACTCCTACCAGCCAACCTGTTTAGACAGTATTCTTGTCTCCACTCCCAGCATCTGAAGCTCTGTCTCGACTATGTGAACAGCTGCCTTCCCTTTTTCATCTGCATGCTGGGACAGACATATGGAGACTTTCTCCCTGACTACTCACCTTTCGTGTTCTCCAAAGCAACCGACTTGTCAAGTTTATCCAAACTAGAACAGAATCTCTATGTTGCTGCAAGAAACGGTTATCCTTGGGTCCTGGACAGTCCCAACTGTAGTCTGACGGAGTTTGAGATCACTCAAGCAGCATTTATGAATGAGTCTCAATTTCAGTATTTTTACTTTAGGACTGGAGCCACACTGCTGAAGACTTTAGGTGAGGAAAAGGAGGAGAGGCTGCCCTCAGGTTCTGCAGTGAATGATGAGGAAAAATGGAGGATTGGAAAGCTTAAGGCCAAGATTATTAGTAAAGGGCTCCCTGTCAGATTTTATAAAAATCTCCATGAGTTGGATGAGCTGCTTTTCAAGGACTGGTCGGTTGTGATAGAAAAACTTTACCCAGCTGCTCTAACGATGGAAAATATAGGTTAGTAAATATAGAGATCGCTAAGTCTATTATCAACATGAAGTTAATATTTTGTAGGTCTTCCTCGTGAAAGGAATTTTTAAATAATTGGAAATATTCCTTAAGCAGTTAAAATTATGACTATATATGTATATATTTCTCTATTTTGAAGATTTTTGAAACTGAAAATAAGGGTAAATAATGGGTCATGGAAGATTATGTAGGAAGTTAAGGAGCTCAGGGAAGACTCAAAATATCTAGCAGTTAACATGTGGATCTAGGGCAGTGACTCTTAACCAGAGCCAATTTTGCCCCCTCAAGGGACATTTGGCCATGTCTGAAGACATTTTTGGTTGTCACAATTGGGGGAGAGCTACTGGCATCCATAGGACAGCCATTATGATAAAGAATTATCTAGCCCAAAATGTGAATAGTGTTGAGGTTGAGAAATCCTGAGCTAAAGTGAAAAGAACTAACTTTTATTAATTGTCTGGTGCTTCGTGTATGTATCACATTTAATCTTCAAAGTTTAGCCCTGCAAGGTAGGTACTATAATTCTGGATTTGCACATGAGCAAATGAAAACTATTATATAGCAATTAAGTGAGTTATCCATGTCACATAACTAGTGAGGGACAAATTCAGGATTCGAACCTGGGGCCCTCTGACTCTAAAATCCATGCCTGTTCTCCTTCACCTTTACTATGGAGTGTAATCCTTGAACTGGTGGCCTCAGCAGCACCTGGGAGCTTATTAAAAATGTGGAATATTGGTCCCCATTCCAGGTCTACTGAATTAAAATTTGCATTTTAGTAAGATGACCAGGAGATTTGCATGCACATTAAAGTTTGAGAAATACTGCCTTTAAGTGAAATGATTACCTTTAGTTTTAGAAATAGTGTCTTGCGGACATGTATCAGATTAAAAAGGGAAGAGTATGGCCCAGATTTTTTCCCTAGACCAGACTTCAGGAGGGATCTGTGATGATTATATGAAAATTAGATAATATAAAATTATATGAAAAATAGAATGTTCATATGCATATATGTGTTTTGGGGGGTAAGAAAATGACCTGTGACTTTGATTAGATTCTCAAAAGGCTTAATGACCCAAAAAAGGTTGTGAATCAGTGATGAAAGGGCCCAATTAATGTGGGATGCAAAATGGTGGCAGGTGTTACACTCTCAAATGCTTTCAGGGACCAGGCAGACAATTGTCCTTGTAACATGATAGCGAGCAGATGGATCTGCAGCAAACGGGGAAGTGTTGACTCACCTAAAGTCATTTGAATTCAGTGTAGGGGTGGTGGTGCAGACCAACCTGTGCTGGCTAAACAAAACTCTGCCTTCAAGTGAAAGCATTTTGGACCCTGGAAAAGAAGATTGTATCAGTCACAACTCCTTTGGTTGCAAGTAACTCAAACTAGCTTCAACAAAAAGGGATTTATTCACTTATATAACTGCAAAGCCCAGGATTAGGTCTGGTTCAGCTCAGTCTTCATCCAGTGGCTGAAATGATGAAATGATGTTACCAGACTCTTGTCTCTCCCTATTTCTCAGGTTGGCTCTGCTGTCCCGATTGATATTGGCTCAGCTCCTCGGCTCTTCTATCATGGAGGAAGATGGCTGTAGCAGCTTCAGGTTCAAGTCAAGTGGCCCAGGGCCTAGCATTGAGTCTTTCTGTCTCTGATTTGCCTGACCAGGGCTATATGCTTGTATCCGACTCAATCACTGGTGCCAAGAGAATGTGATGCTCTGATTGGCTAATCCTGGGTCATAGGCCACCTCTGGAGCTAGAAGTGGAGTCAGACTCACTGGAATAATATGAACTGAGAGTTGGGATGGTTGGATCCCAAATGAAAATCTAGGGCTGTTACTGAAACTAGGGTAGGATAAATTGATATTGGGCAGCTAAAAAGTATCCCAAATATTTACTACAGGCTTGGCGTTTTAGAATCTGACATACATGTCCTCACATCCTATATTTTTCAGTTCCTAGTTGTGTGACCTTGAGCAAATTACTTAACATTGGTAAGCCTTAGTTTTTTCCTTCTGCAAAATGGGTTAACATTAACTGCTTTGAGAGTAGTAATGTATGTATTAGTACAATATCTAAAAACAGCAGCTGGCACGTATTAGGTACAGAGTAAATAACTAATGAGAATGAATAATACCAAATGGGTCCTGGAAGAATATGTATATTTGGCTAAAGTCAGAAATGTGGTTAATATTAATATTCTTTTATTAATCTCAATCTGAATCACATCTATTGATTAATATTCACTAATGTGTTCAGGAATCAAGCCTTTCTGTGTATTTAGGTTAGGGTCAGATTATTTCTTCCTATTATTCTCCTTAAGCTTTGGTTTTGGATATTGTTGAAACATTAGCTTGTTTTAGACTTTATTCTTGAATGTATATATGTGGTCTAAATGTCTGAATTAGAACATACAGAGTGGATGGATTATTTAAAAAAAAGCTTTAGAAGGAAGTGCTAAGTTCTTTTTCTTTTGGATCTTTGAATCTCTTTAATCACCCAGTTAGCTCCAAAATCTCAAAGTCCACAGCTAGGGTAGCAATGGGCCATTTGGCCAGCTGGTTGTTAATGTAAGAGATAATGTAGAGCTATCAGTTTATACTCTTGACTCTTAGAAGTACTTTTGAGGTCCTTGAAGATACCTGAGAATAGTGGGTGAGGTTTAAGGTTAGCACAAGAGGACTGTTGGACTGTAAGGTCATCCCAAATTCTAAGATCTTGAAACATGAAGCTGTTGAAACATGAAGCTGACCTTGGCCAGACTGTAGGTCCTCCAGGTCTATTCTGGCCCTAACCTGAACTACAGGGCATCCCAGTTAACTATGAAAATATAAGGTGAGTATCTTGGGAACCTACCAGGCTAACCTATCTGCTGTTCCATTTCCTACATGTGTTGATAACTGCCTCTACCCCTAAAAAAACAAACTTGGGGAATATGGATGTCTCCAAGGATAACAGAGCATTTCAGCAGTTTAGAACACCCTGACTTTAATTGGGCAATGAGTTTAGAATTGCAGTAAATTGAAACTGGCAGAAACTCCAGAGATCATCCAATTGTCTGGCCCTCCCCCTTATTTTACTAGAGACTTTAAGGGACTTGCCCGGTGGCAGAGCTGCAACTGTATGTGTGGTTGTCGTCTTTGTTAGGGCATCGGGATTTTTTTTTTTTTTTTTTTGAGACGAGGTCTCACTCTGTCGCACTGGCTGGAATGCAGTGGCCTGATCATAGCTCATTGCAGCCTCGAACTCCTGGGCTCAAGTGATCCTCCTGCCTCAGCCTCCCAAGTAGCTGGGACTATAGGCACATGCCACCATGCTCTGGCTAATTTTTTTAAAAAAATTTTTTTGTAGAGATGGGGGTCTCCATATGTTGCCCAGGCTGGTCTCAAACTCCTGGCCTCAAGTAATTCTCCCACCTTGGCCTCCCAAAGTGCTGGGATTACAGGTGTGAACCACTGCATCCAACCCCGGGCATCTTATCCTAAAAATATACCCCACTCCCCCAGTCTCTGCCATGGACAGACACATACAGATACCCGACAAGATTGAATTAGATAACTTCATATTTAGCTGACAATTTATAAAAATGACAGAATGTATATAGCAACTCTAATGTTTTTTGCCCTTGTCATTCTGAGATCATGAAATAACTTGGAATTGTAAGTAGGATTCCATATATAAATAGCGTGAGGATGGTTAAATTGTTTGCCTATAGTTTTCTTTCACTGACATATAGATTGAACTGTGAAATATGGAGCCCAAATAGAAAGAAGGTGATACAGATACAAGACGCAGATACTGTCCTGGGCATTTATAATAAATAACCATGTACAATTGAAAATGTGAAACTACAAATATAAGATATTAAAACTTATCTTTTTGACTATCAAGACTACAAGCACAGCTTTGAACGTTTCTATCATGAAGAGTTTCCTGAGAAGTGCAAGCAAGTGTTTGTTATTTCCAAGGAGTCAAACAGGACCTTTGAAATCTTGGAAAGATTTGCCTTAGAGGATGTGGAACTTGATTTTAACAATGCAGCAGCAGGTTCCAGTTTAGATTCTGTTCTCAGGTATGAAGTCAAGAAATTCCAAGACTTTTCATGGGGCTCACACGAAGCAGCCTGACTTTGGTAAATGTGGTCCCCTAAATTTGGGATGTCTTTCCTCACTTCTCCTGTTCGCTGCCCATCCCTTCCTGCAAGAGAGACCCCCTAAAAGCCATCCCTGTGTTAGAATTTCCTCATCGGATATCACTGTCCACTTGCAAAGCTTTTCTGGTATTTCACATACTTTCTTCCAGTGTCCTCAAGAAGATTATAAACTCCTAGAGGGCAGGGAATCAATCTGCCTTCTTTTTTCTCCCATACATCAAAGTTGGTCTAAGTAGTTCCCAAGAATGATGTAATGACTTTAAAGAGATGAAATTAGATTAGGAAATATGAATAACACATCTGCATAGTATTGTATAGTTTACGAAGAGCTTCTACATATATCATCAGCTCATTATTAATTACATTCAGATATTAAACCAGCACATACTAACACAACATGGGCCATATCATTCTTTGTGTTTGTATGTAAAAGGTTGAGTTATCTTATCCAATGTGCACACTCCTTCATTGTTTTATTTAGTGTCCTCTGCAATACAACTTCTATATCTTTCCCACCCTGGGTGGTGGCACACCCTGTTTACCACCTTACTGAGGCCTGCAGTAAGAAAGCTGAGGTTGTCTTAAGTCGCCCTTCCCAGTCTCATCCCTAGGAATGGGGAGAGTCTTAGGATAGTTTTATTTCTTCCATCCTTATCTTCCAGCTGTTACCATGAATCTCCTTTATCCTGTGAGAGTTTTGTGGTTTTGAATAAACCCTGAGTGGCTGTGATGGCTCAGGGCTGTCCTCCACCATCGCTGTCCCAGGCTCAGCATCCACCAGTTTGGTCCACTCAGGTGCAGAGCTATCAACATTCTTAAGGTTCTGAGAACCCACACCGAGAGGAAAGCAGTCGATTTGGTTAGTGCAATATGGTACTCAGTCAATATTTTTATGACTACAGGAGAAACATATAGGTCTTGTGTTAAAATTGTTAGATTGAGTAGGCACATCCATAGAGACAGAAAGCTGATTAGTGGCTTCTGGGGGATGAGGGTAGTGGGGCAATGGAGAATCACTCTTAATGGGTACGGAGTTTCCTATTTGGGGTGATGAAAATGTTCTGGGATTAAATTGTGACGATGTTTATGCAACCTTGTAAACATAATGAAAACCATTGAATTGTATCCTTTAAAACTGAATTTTTTGGTATGTGAATTATTTCTCATTTAGATTATAATTGAGTATTTCAGAGTAGATAAGAAGTTTAATAAATTTTATTGCAATTGAACAACTCAAATTATTATGCTCAGTAAAGATACAACAATTAAATAAGTCCTTTTAGATTAGCTATGTGAAAACATTCAGGGCTTTGTTTGCTTTGCCATTTGGAAACAATGCTCTGTACTATAAGTTCCTGAATAGAGTGTAAGGTCAACAGAAAAGGAGTGTTCTTTTCAAGTTTCAAAGCATTGTTTTAATAACCAACCATATGCATCCATAGCATTCTTTTTTTTTTTTTACCTCACTTTGAAAGGAGCTGCAGATTGCTTTCAGTGTTTTCATTTTCTATTTGTTCTTGAGAAGAAATCTTTAAGATTTTAGCCCTAATCATGTTGATGCATCATATTTGCATTTTTCCTTCCTTGATTTTATCTGTTACATGCCAAGAACTGTTCTAGACACAGGATATATGGCAATGAATAAAAGAGACAAAAATCCCTGCCTCCATGGAGCTTGCATTGTGGAGACAGGCAATAAACATAATAAATATGTAAAATATGTTGTATGCTAGATGCCTTCAAGCACTATGGAGCAAAATGAAACTTTGAAAGGGAATAGACCATCTGGTAGGGTGAGGGAAGCCCTCACTGAGAAGGTGATATTTGGGTAGCTACTAAAAATAGGTGTGAGAACAAGCTGTGCAAATATGGATAGGGAGAGCATTCCAGACAGTGGTCATAGCAAACACAGAGGCCCTGAGCCTGGAGAAATAGCAGGGAGACCAGGCAGCTGGAAGGAAGTCAGAGCTGTAGGGAGGCGCAGAGGTCCGAGAGATACTGGGTGGTGGGAGGGTGTGAGTTTTGTCTGGTCTCACAGGTCATTGTAGGGACTTGTGTTTTCACTACATTTGAGCAAAACAATGACCTACCTATATGACGTATTTTGAAGAGCTCACTCTCACTGCTTGGTTGAAGGGTAGAGCGAATGAGGGCAAAGGTGGATGCAGAGCATAAAATCTAATCCGCCCATTCCAATTTGCTGGTGAAATAATTTCCTCAATAGAGCACAGATTCCTAAGTCATATTAATGGCGATGGAATTCTTACAAAGTAACTTCTAATGACACTGCTTTAAGTTTTCCATTTTAATCAGTTTTCAGGCTGATCCTCCTGCTTTGCTGAATCTCAATTCATTTTATTTCATTCACTCGTATAACAGTTTATGGTCAGGTGCTGTGCTAGTCACTAAATATCCAGTAGTGAGTAAGGTAAGCCTGGTATCTGCTCTCTTTATGGAATTTACATCAGTGAAAAATCACTAGACATGTATTTATTGAGTCATAACTGTGTAAGGCTCAAGGCTAAAGTCTATATGTAGTGATATTCATGATCCTGTCCAGAAGCTTTTCACTAAAAAATAAAGCAACAAGACAAGTTATATTACTGTTATTCTCCTGTCAGTTCCAAGAAATCATATTTATGTAGTATTACCAGCTAACACACCCTGGTGGAGGAACAGGCTATTTCTTGGCAAGTCATTATCTGATGATTTTTTTTTTAGTTTAACTTCTAATTTTGTGGTCATCAGGATTGATGGGAATTTTTGGCATATGAGTGCTTCAAGTTTTGATTCTCTTTCAATATGATGTTAAACCATAGATCAGTCTGGTGGTGGTGGTGGTAACCCAAGGAAGGAATGAGCAGGCCAGACACAAGGGCAGTGAACTGGTGTGATACAGTTTCCCTACCCAGGCCTTGGACCCTCTACGTAACCTTAGGTTCTTATTGGACAACACTAGGATCTGTGTAGCTGGAAGGGCCTTCCAACATTACTGTCTACCCTCCTAATTTTACATAGGACCAAGCTAAAACCCAGAGGATGAATGACTTATTTGAAGCCAATTGAAGCCAAAATGGAGACTAGAGCTAGAGGCAAAATGTGTGCCGGGAAATTTTCTATTCCTTCCTTCCTCTCTCATACTCTCCCTCCCTCTCTCTCTCCCTCCCTGCGTTCTCTCTCCCCACCTGCCTGCCTTCCTTTCTTGGTAAATATTCTTGACTGCATTTCACCCCTTTATTTTTCAGAATAAATTCTCTTCCAACTTACAAGTCTATTTTGCTCTTGTCTGGAGAACGTGGTTGTGGGAAGTCCACTCTGATTGCCAACTGAGTGAACTATTTCAAAAATAAATATCCGAGCATGTTGATGATCCCGCACTTTGTGGGAAGCACCTGTGGAAGCAGTGACATCATGTCTGTGATCCACTACTTCATCACGGAATTACAGCACAAAAACTACGGTAACAGAATTCAGCTCTCCCATTCATTCAGAAAATGTCTGGTGGGTGAGAAAGGAATGGCTCTCTCTTCCGCTCATGTGGCCGTTGTTCTCTTGTTCTGATCCAAACCCCAGGTTCTCTCACTTACATATCTACCTGCCTCTTCCCCTCACGGAGATAAACTCACTCTCTCCTTCCTTCCCTCCCTCCTCTCTCTTTCTTTTCTTTTCTCTTTTCTATTCTTTTCTTTCTTTTTTCTTTCTCTCCCCCTCCCTCCCTCTCTCTCCCTTCCTTTTCCTTCCTTCCCTCTCTCCCTCCTTTCTTTCTTTCTTTCTTTCTTTCACCATATATTAATTGAGTACCTTTATGTGCCAGGGCACTATTCCAGGCAGTGGGGATACAGCAGTGCACAAAGTGGACAAAAGTCTTTACTTCATGTAGTTTTCATGTTATTTGTGGAGGGGGAAGATGATGGGAAGTTCTACGAAGAAAAAGCAGAGAAAGAAGGTAGGCAGTGTGTGCACAGGAACTGTTAGGATTTTCAATAGGGCAGTCTGGGGAAGTCTCACTGAGGAAAGGACATTTAAATAAATACCCGAAGGAGAGGAGGCAGCCAGGTAGATATTTCAGGAATAGTGTTGTTAAAGGAAACAAATACAAGCCCCCCCACCCCCACCCACTGACCCCAGCGGGACATGCCTCCTAACCATTGCTCCTCTTCTGCAATTCAGTAAGTGTTCATTGAGCATGTTCATTTACTCATTCATTACAGGACATTTGTTGGTTGCCTGTTCTGTGCCAGACACGCTTCCCAGTCTGGGACTACAGGAGTAAATCAGGCGAATAAGGTCACAACCTCATCGATACCATGTTCTAGTTGAGAAAGGCAGATAACAAATAAATAAACATCCAATAATGACAATTGCCAAGCAGAGTGATGTGATAAGGTGACAGGGTGGCTGTTTGAGTAGTCAGGACTATGTGTCTGTATTAGTTAGGGTAACTCTAGCTGCTGTATCAACTAAATCCCATTTCAGTGGCTTCTCAAATGGAAGCTCATTTCTTACTCATGTAACAGTCTGACATGGGGTCCCTGGGCAGGTAACAAGTTGCTTTCATACATGTGGTGATTTAGGGACACAGGTTCTTTCCATCTTGAGGCTGTGTCATCCCCTACAGCCTCAGAGTCCTTTGCTTTTGGCTAGAGGAAGGGGACAAGAGTGGAAGAGGCACTCTTGCTCCTTAAAAGTCTTGGCCCATTCTTTTGGCAAGCACTTGGCCACACTGGGCCCACATGCCTTCACCGGGAGTTGAGTGGGAACAGAAAGCAAACCACACCCTAAGGAAAGGGGAGCATAAACCTCTGTGGGACAAGAGCCATCCTTTCTGCCACACTCTCTGGGGAGATCTGATTGACAAGGAGCCAGCCACTTGGAGACCAGAAGAAAGAACATTTCCAGCAAAGCCAACAGCTAAGGTAATACAGCTCCGCAGCTGGAAACAGAGTTGAATGAATTAGAAAGGGAAAGAGGGCCAGTGAGGCCGATCAGTGAGGGGCTGCAGGGGGAGTCCCACCAGATGAAGCAGGAGAAGGCTGGGCCACTTCTTACCTGGGTTCGTAGACCAGAATATTAGGTTTGGATTCTATTAAATGCAATGGGAGGCCAGTGGAGGGTTCTAAGCAGGAGAGTGACATGACTTGATTATTTTAAAAAGATCAAAATCAGTCTGATATGTGGGAAATGGATGTAGGGACGCAAGCATGAGGCAGGGACATTTGTTAGAGGCTACAGCAAAGGTCCGTGCAAGAGGTGATGGTGGCTTGGAGAGGACAATAGCAGCGGATGTGGAGGGCTTTGAGGGGATTGAGGATCTGCCGAGGAACGGAACATACAGGTTGAAGGACAGGGAGGAATTGAGGAGAACTCCTAGCTCTAGGCTTTAGGAAACCAGACAGGTGGGGAGGGCTGTTGACTGAGATGGGCCAACATTGGTGGGATGGGGGAGGGGAAGTAGGTTTTGAGAGAAATCAAGAACTCTGCCTTGGACACGTGATATTTGAGATGCAGGGCACGCGCCAGTGCATGTTACCAGTCGTGTGGGATCTGCATTGTGCCTAACTGTGCCAGGAGCACTTGGGGAGCCTGATCACCTGCATCCAAACCTTGTGCCACTACTTATTAGCTGTGTGACCTTAGTTATTTTAACCCTCTGTGACTCAAATTTCCTCTTTGTAAAATGTTGATAATAATTTTTTTAAAAGTACCTGCACGTAGTTGAGAGGATTAACTAAGATGATGTATGAAAGACAAAGGCACTGAGCTCAGTGCTTGGCATCTAGTAAGCACTGATAAATATTAGTGATTGTTAGTGATCAGTACGCTGCTGTGTATTTACATGTTTGTGTCTGACTTTGCCCGCTTTGGGGAGTTCCTCTCTTCTCATGCAGGGGCCTGTACCCATGTGTGCCTCTGGGCTTTGAGTGAGTACGTGGGTGCCCCAGGGTGAGTTTTGATGTATATATCTCATCTCTGTATGAGGGGACAAGTACTTGCATCTCTTTTCTGTGCATGTGGTGGGTGTCTGTGAGTACACAGGGGTGAACATGTGTGCATGAGGTCTCTGTGATTGCTGTTCCCAGGGCATTTAAAGTGGGTAAAATCAAAATCAGTAGAAGCAGGTGTGACCGTGTCTGTACAATGACTAATCCTATTCTGGCACGTCCCAAAGGTGCTCATTCTGGCCAGGCTGATGATGTAAACTCACTTGTTCATGCCCAATTATGATTTTATTCCCAAAGTGAATTGTTACTTTAATGAGTGTGGTTTTGGGTGCAGAAAGCTCCTAATAAAAACAGCTGCTATCTTTCAAGCAAACAGATCTTCAGGCTGACAACAGTAGAATAAATTTAGGAACAGTTTAGGAATACTTGTCACCTTCTATGCCTGAAAGAACAGCCTTCTGCATTAACGGTGGAAGGCTGAAGGGAATCGCTGTGGTTCCGGACTTGGCCCACGATTCTGGCTCTGCGACTTGCTAGCTGTGTGACCTTGGGCAGTTTACTTAAGCTCTCTGTGCCCCAATTTCTCATCTGTAAAACGAGGATAGGATTAATTAGTACCTACCTCATGAAGCTGCATGAATATTAAAAATAATACATGTAAAGAATGTAAAGTGGTGCCTGACACACTGCTGCCATTATTATTGTTGTTATTTATTATTGTTTTTATTATTCCTCCCTGTGCTAGAGAAAGAAGCAGGGAGTGGGGGCTGTTGAGGGACACGAGACACTCCTATTCCTTAGCTGGATTAAGGAGACGAAGGACTTCTCTACAAGAATTTGCAGCTGTCACCTCTGCAGCCCAGAGAGGCCGGAGGGTGAGTGTAGAAGGCTGGCCCCAGGGTCGTTTAGCTTGGGTTTCACCTGGCGAGGAGGCTATGGGCAGAGGAGGAGGAGCTGCTGTTGAGAACACTGCAGCCGCAGAGGCCAGGTGCTCGAGCAGATTCAGCTTCTCTGCAGAGCATTTTCCTGTTGCCTCAGCTGTCTGCAGCTGCAGCTCCCGCGTGGGCTGTGAGCCAGGGACCCTCCCTATTGGGGACCCCAAAACACCTCCCTGTGACGCTCACATTTCTGCTCCTCTGTTCTCAACCCCTGCTTGCCAGAATGAAGGGACCTTGTGTATAAGAGCTACCTGTAGCCAGGTCTCCGACTCCCACGCCCTTTGCTTGCCTTGCAGGCAGCTGGTGTCACAGAAGACACGCTTCGCAGGTCAGAGTAGAGTCACTGACTCTCTTATTTGCATGTTTCCTCTCCGTGTTATCCCACGGAACCTGGTGGCAGCCCTGAGTAACAATAAGTTCCATTTATTGACGGCTTTCTGGGTACCAGGCACTGTGCTGAGGACTTTATCAGCATCTCATTTAATGCTCTCAATGATTCATTCATGCATAGCATTATCATCCCTGATAGGGAAACTGAGGCTCAGAGTGGCAGGTTCACACAGCTATACATGGGCAGAGCAGGGAATGCAAACCCAGGTGTCCTTGGAGTTCCAGTCATTCATTACTGCATGGTCTTGCCTCCTTGAGCCAACAGAGGAAAATTTCACTGTTTTGGATGATTTCCATAAGGGTCTTCTCCCAGCATCGGATATCAGGAGAGTCTGCATTCAAGTTGGTGATGTGGAATAGGCAGAAATCCTTGGCAGGGCTGACTTCTCAGCCCAGTCTCTTGCCCCTTGCCCCACAGGTTTGGTCTCCTTGGAGCAAACCCATCCCTTCCATCCTTCCATGTCTTCGTTGATTTAGTTCTCTTCTCCTGAAATGCCCCTCACTCTTCTCAGGGCAGTGAAATCCTTCTCATCCATTTTTTTTTTTTTCTTTTTGGGACAGAGTCTTACTCCATGGCCCCAGCTAGAGTGCAGTGGCTCATGGCTCACAGCAGCCTCAGACTTCTGGGCTCAAACAATTCTCCTTCCTCGGCCTCCCCTGTAGCTGAGATTATAGGTGTGTGCCACAGGGCCTGGCTAATTTTTTTATTTTTAGTGGAGATGAGGTCTTGCTCTTGCTCAGGCTGGTCTTGAACTCCCGAGCTCAAGCTACTCTCCTGCCTTGGCCTCCCAGAATGCTAGGATTATAGGCGTGAGCCACCATGCCTGGCCCCTTCTCATCCTTTAAGGCTCTATTCAAAAGTTGCCCCTTCCATAGGAAGGGCTGATGGATGCCTCTCTCCCTCACCCCTAACTTTGACCAGGCAGCAAGTGTAGACTTGGTCCAATTGCATTTTAGTTTTCCTGGGTATCTCCTTCCAAATACTATGTGCTTACCTTGCTTGGTCCCTTAGGTCTGTGGTCCCTAACCCCCAGGCCTAGGACCAGTAGCAGTCTGTGGCCTGTTAGGAACCAATAGCAGTCTGTGACCTGTTAGGAGCCCAGCCACACAGCAGGAGGTGAGCAGTGGGTGAGCTTCATCTGTATTTACAGCCTTCCCCATCGCTTGCATCACCGTGTAAGTGCCGCCTCCTGTCAGATCAGCAGTGGCATTAGATTCTCATAGGAGCGTGAACCCTACCATAAATGGTGCATGCGAGGGATCTAGGTTGCACGCTCCTTATGAGAATCTGATGCCTGATGGTCTAAGGTGGAGCTGAGGTGGTGATGCTAGTGCTGGGGAGCGGCTGCAAATACAGATTATCATTAGCAGAGAGGTTTGACTGCACAATAAATGAAATGCACTTGAATCATCCCAAAACCCTCCCAAGTGTCTGTCCGTGGAAAAATCGTCTTCCACGAAACCAGTGCCAAAAAGGTTGAGGACCGCTGTCTTAGGTAACTTACAAATAGTCTGGTCATTACATGTTTTATTATCGTCTTCTTATATGAGTTCTGTGACTACAGGGATCATGTCTATTTTATTGGATACTGTCATAACCAGTGCCTGGCACAGACATTGAAGCGTCTCAGTAAATCTGTGTTGAATGAGGAGAGACAGCACTGATAAAAAGTGCATGAGTTCATCAATCCCCAAGTCATTGAGTGGGTCTTTAAGCAGTTGAGATGTTACCTTTAAATTAGGCAATGGGCCGTTGTCATTTAGTAGTCACAGATTGGTCCTGACAGAATAAGGAGAAATGTTTAGGAACATTTTCCAATACTAGTAATGCTGACTTTATCTTCGACATCATTTTGAGGAAAAATAATTATAGTCACCCAAAGTGTGATTTTAAAAACACCAAACGTAATGCTTTTCTTTAGATACCAGGATATACATCATCGTTGAGTGTATATATTTTTTGCCTAGGATTATGTTTTTGCTGATTATATTAGTGAGGCTATGCTTAATGCTTGTCAGATGGTATTTCTTGAGGTTCATTCAGTCCAATTTGTCACTTAACCCCAATGCCAGCTTTGCCGAAGAGGCAGACAGTCCATGCGTCTGTGGCTCCGCAGTGACTGCTGATGAGCCATCCACGCCAAGAAATGGTGGCTACACAGCTTGAAAACAAACTATTAGAAAAATACGTGTTTTCAAAGCTCCTGATGATCTGTGTGTTCACATCCCTTCGCCTTGCCAGGCCTCAGTTTCCTCGTCCACAAAATGAGGGGTTTGGACTAGACTAGATGATTTCTAAGAACCCCCTCTGCTCTAAAATTCTGTCATTTAGGGTCTGAAATTTTAGTAGTGTCCATAATTTTAAAGATTTTTTTTAAAAAACCTCAAAGGATGATGATGCGTTAAGCTCAATTAAGACTCATATTCTGCCTTGAAATGTGGCTATTTGTGTACAGAACCCATTTCCAATGCCTTAGATGCTTGACTTTATATCCCAGCCATTTTATCTTCTCTTGGCAGCTGGCACAGAACGTTCACATAACAGGCAACCAATAAGTATTTGCTAAACATTACTCTCAGGGACTCTAGCAGAATCTCAGTGTATCTGAGAGACTTACCCCATGAAAGCTTCTACACATGACTTGATTTTCTAGAGTTGATGTGCCTGAATTTCTATGGAAAATACTGCTTTTGAAAAATGAAAAGCAAGATAGAAGTTGTTATGTAGTAAAATACTTTTAGGATATTAGGTAGATGATTTTAGAATATTAGATGGGTGATGTTAGGATATGAAGTAGGTGATTACAATTTGTGCTTGCTGCTACCAGGGCACTTAATCGCAATCTGAAAATTGGTCCTCTCGAATTACTTCTTTTGCCCTTTTGCTAGTTCACAGCTTAGTTTTCCCTAAGAACTTGTAACATCCAGAATGCAAGGTCTGGGGTCTAATATGATGGCTGAGGAACTTAGGATTGTTTCCATAAGGTTTCAGATGGGCTAGGACCAAATAGACTAGGCAGTAGGTGAGAGCTGCTTGTACATGTGCATTACTGGAAGAGCCCAGGGTGGTGGCCGTGACCCTAAACAGGCACCCAACATTAAGGAGCTGCGAGAACTTCACAGATCACGGGACTTCTCTTTCTTCCCATCCAAACTCTTTGTAACATGATCTATTTTTGCATCCTGGAAAATGAGAGTAATGTTTTTGATTATACAAAAACATTTTTTATATAAAATCCTGAAAATGTACTGGAGACATCTGGTGGTAAATATCATTATCCCTTTTGAGTTGAATATGTGGAGGATGCTAATCACACGTAGACATGTATGTGTCATCTATACAGCTGTGAGTAGCACTTGTTTTTCCCAACTTCTTCTGCCTCCTCAGTCTATTAACATATTTTAGCAATGATGGAAACATTTTCACCTAATTTGAGCAAATTTCTATGCTGTAGGTACTCAGCTTGAAACGGATATTCTTAATGAAGACTCAAATGTCTTGGTCTTTTCACTTCTTGTAGAAGCGTTCATTGCTTCTATCAGTTTAAAGCCATGTATACTTGTACTAGATGGAATTGAAGAATCGATTGGCATTTATAGGATTTCAGGTCAGAAGGTAACAACTTTTTAAAATAACCCCTATTTTATTATGATTCTGTAAAAAGAAAACTCTATTATTTAGGATGTGCATAACAGTTTTCCATTGCATTACTTATCTCTGGTTATAACCGACATCACTTTTAGTTACCGCTTTGTATTTTATTGAACGAATACTTATATAATGCATTTACAATGGGCCAGGCATCATCATAACAACCATAAGAAGAGACGGTGCTCAGCATCCCTGTTTACTCAGAGGGGACTGAGCACAGAGATGTTAGGTGGCTGGTCTAAAGTCCTAAGATAGGTGGTGGACTCAGAATTCAGTCTGGTTCCAGAAACTGTGGTCTTTCCCCCTGCATGGGTCTCCTAGGTCTGCCCTGCCCCTTATTTTATACTTTTTTTTAAAATATCTATATTCTGCATTCAAAATAAGGATGAGATGAGGAGACATAGATCAGGAAGAGCAGGATCAGAACACGAAAAAGTATGGAGTTTTGAAGAGGTTTCCCCCCCACCTTTTTTTTAAGCTTATGGGGTATGCAGGCTGGAGAGTTGGTGTCCTGTCTCATCTCAACTGCCAATTAACATTGTTGAAAAATACTGTTACCTTACTTATTTCAAATAGTTGCTGGAATAACTGATTGTAAGAAATACATGGTTATTCATAGGGGCTTTTGTCATGGTTATAGTCTTCCTACATAGTAAGCATTACTTGTCTTTTTAATCATCTGATGATCAGTAATTTAAATATCTATTGAATGATTTGCAGTCTATGTTTTTCCAATTAAACTTCTCTTTCTGATTACTCATAACTTTCGCCTTTCTTCACTTCAAGGAATTTCCTTTTTTCGAAGTTGGCTTTTCCTGAAGCCTTTAGTCTTACTGCCATTGTTTGGTTTGATTTGTTCTGCAGAAAACATGTTGTTTTTGCCAGTGACCACAAGAGGACACAATTTCCCAGAGAACTTTATTTAGAAAGCGCTTATAGGAGAGGAAAGCTAACACAATAGCTAAAATGCCACAAAATTAATGAATGTCGTTTGGAAATGTCTAAATAGACATAAATGATTTATGCCACTTTTATTAATTTTTAAGAAAATAAACATGAATTGGCATTCAAGCTTTTGAAGATTTTGTATCTTTTCTCCTTATTGTATTACATAATGAATATCACACATTTCTGAAAATATACTAAAGTGCCACTGTTATAGTTAAGGGAAAATGTTTATGTTACATTAGCAGAATTTTGTGCAAAATTTTTGGTGACTTGGAATTTTACTTAATTTTCAAATCATGTTTGTCAATGAAAAACAGTTTTTAAAAAATATGACTGTTTCAAAATGTCTTTGAAAGTTTGAATTTCTAGTTTAGGCATTTGGGGTGTCTGCATGAAAAATTACATGAAAATTATATTTTATGGTTTTTTAATTGTATTTAAATGCACATTACAGGTTAATGATTAAAAATTATTTTGCAGAGATGTGGAAAAATAGGATATCTTAAGGTATTGACTCAACACTTTCTCAGAATT